GAAATTGTCTTTGGTTTTTAACCTTTGATGTATCTGAAGTGTTTTTTTCTTTTTAATACATTTGCCTGGGGTTTGCAGAAACTTTGAATTTCTGGATTTATGTCTTTTATCAGTTTTAAATAATTCTTGGCTATTATCTTTTTATGTATTTTGTCATATAATTTCTTGCTGTTCTTTCTGAGACTCTAGTGAATGTATATGTTAGAACTATTCACCATGCCTCGAACACTCTTAGAGTTCTTCTGTATTATAACTTTTTTGTTTTCATGCTACAGTTTAAATATTTTCTACTGAGTTATAATTTAATTCACTACTGTTATTTCAACTACCGTTATATCAATGCATTGACTTCTTAATTTTAGATATTGTATTTTTTAGTTCTAGAATGCCTGTTTAATTCTTTCTTAAAGAATTTATTTCTTAGGACAAATTCTTTATGACTTCAACTATTTCTTTTCTGTTTATTGAACACATTAATCATAGTTTTATTTTATTTTATTTTGTTGAGATGGAGTTTTGCTTTTGTTGCCCAGGATGGAGTGCAAGGGCACTATCTCAGCCCACTGTAACCTCCACCTCCCAGGTTCAAGCGATTCTCCTGCCTCAGCCTCCTGAGTAGCTGGGATTACAGGCATGCGCCACCATGCCCAACTAATTTTGTATTTTTAGTAGAGATCGGGTTTCTCCATTTTGGTCAGGCTGGTCTTGAATTCCTGACTGTAGGTGATCTGCCTGCATTGCCCTCCCAAAGTGGCATGATTACAGGCATTATCCACTGCACCTGGCCTAATCATATTTAAAAAAAATTTTTGTCTGCAAACTCTAATGTCTGGATCACCCATTAGTCTGTTATTTTATGTTTTTTTTTCCTCTTGATTTTTGATCATGCATTCGGTTTTTGGCATGCTTCATAATTTTTAATAGCATACCAGATACTGTGTATAAAATATTGTAAAGATTTCAAATGATGTTATTTTTCTACTAGGGAGGTTTCATACTTTCTTCTGCAAGACAGATATAGGTGAGATAAAATCACCTTAATCCAATTATGAACTGTGCTAATTACCTTTTGTTATTACTTAATTTACCTCTTGGTTGTTTTATTTTCTTAAGTGTAGTATTATGGGGGTATCAGATATGAGCCTGATGTTTTTGAGGGCCCTTCTTTCTATCAGGTTCTTAACTTTACTTTTTGATATCTCTGTATTTCAATTTGTTTGCTTATATTTTTAGCCTCACACTGCCTTTATTTCTTACAAATATCTTGATCAAGAAATAGGCCATGTGTTTTAAGGCTCCTAAAATTTGCAGTTTTGTCATTCTGGCCCAATAAGACACAGTTCCTTAGTAGTATTTCTCCAGGCCAAATCTCAAATGTTTACTCTGTTGCCTTTATCAGAAAATGCGCTGAGGGAGAATATACCTGCAGACCAGTAGCTCACCTCTCAGAGGTTCTACTTTTGTCAGAATTTTAGCCTTTTGGTCTATGCTACTTATACAACTCAATAATGTCTTTAAAAACAGGATTTTGTTACATTTTACCTGAATTTATTTTTAATTAATTGTGTTGAAATGTGGTCTTTTGTGAACTACCCATTTCCTCAGGAGTGAAAGCCATCTAATGAACAATTAATTTCTTGGTAATGTCATTCAAAGTTGCTAACTTTTACCCCCTAAGCACTAAAAACTGCAAAATGTTTTGGAGCTTTTTTATGTAATAGTTTTTAGTACTGTATATATGACAGTAATCAAATTATTGTAATTTCCTTTTTTCCAAGATGGCAGATTGGAGGCAAGTACTAATTAACATGTCTATTCTATTTGGAAAGACAAAATTGTTTATGGCAATTCTCACTGTGAACTTTTTTTCTGAAAAGCAATGCAGGAACTTAACAGGAAAACTGAAAGAAATCACACACCCTTTGAAAGAAGTGGCAAGCTGCAGCCCACACAGTGAGCCATGTGAAAAACTAAGTCCTCGGAGTGTGAAAGGCAGAGAGAATGCCTTCAGGATATATACCCACACTGGGGAACCTGGCAATCCACGCTGGGGGATTGCTGTAACTACCCGATGCTAGAACTGATTTAAGGAGCAATGGGGAATATAAAAGTATTAGCAGTGTGGGAAGAGCCTTGCAGGCAATTTCAGTCTCCAGTGCAAACCAAGGGAAGCCATTCCTGATTCTGTGTCATAGGGGATCTCGCATAAGTCTGCTAGCTAACTCAGGCAGTGGTTGCAGGTTGAGAGAAGCTCCCAGTTTAAATTTATGATATAATATCCAGGGAGGATTAGTTTCTTTGGCCAGAACCAAGGAACAGATGGGAAGTGTGATGCAGCCACAAGTGCAGGAGCTGTACACTGTGGCTTTACAGGCAGACTGGGAGGAGCATGGCCTGAAAGCTGGTTGCAGTATCTGTGGGGAAGGCTATGGCCTGGGGCATTTTGAGTTCTGAGTATTAGGTACTTAGAACATAGATAGCTGCTGCCAGCAGGTGTGAGACTTGCTTTTCCAAGTGCATGGGAGTTGGATGGGGCTTACTGCCTCCTACTACTTCTGACTGCCTGTACAAACTCATTTATACATCAGAGACAAATATCCTCCTCCATCAAACATTATCCCAGTGGCCAGTGAATTTCTCTGACCCTACTAGGGCCACTGTTGGAATAGCAGAGGACTAATATCCAGAATCTACAAGGAACTCAAACAAATCAGCAAGAAAAAAAACAAATACTTTTGTGAAAAAGTGGGCAACTGACATGAATAGATATTTATTAAAAGAAGATATACAAATGGCCAACAAACATATGAAAAAATATTCAGCATCGCTAGTCATCAGGAAAATGCAAATGAAAACCACAATGAGATACCATCTGACTCCTGCAAGAATGGCCATTGTTAGCATTATTATTTTTTGAGACAGGGTCTCACTCTCTCACCTATGCTGGAGTGCATTAATATGACTGTGGCTCACTGCAGCCTTAATCTCCGAGGCTCAAGTGATTCTCCTACCTCAGTCTCTCCAGTAGCAGGGAATATAGGCATATGCCACCACACTCAGCTACTTTTTGTATTTTTTGTAGAGATTGGGTTTCACCATGCTGCTCAGGCTGATCTTGAACTCAGCTCAAGTGAACTGCCTAACTTGGTTTCCCAAAGTGGTGGGATTACAGGTGTCAGCCACTGTACCCATTGAAGAATGGCCATTGTTAAAAAGTAAAAAACAAAAACAAAAAGCAATATATGTTGGGGTCATAAAAAGGGAATGCTTATACGTTGGTGGTGGGAATGTAAGTTAGTACAATCTCTATGAAAAACAGTATGGAGATTTCTTAGATAACTAAAAATAGATGTACAATATGATCCAGCAATCCCTCTACTGGGTATCTACTCAATGGAAAAGAAGTCAGTATATTAAAAAGACACACGCATGTGTATGTTTATTGCAGCCAAATTTACAATTGCAAAGATATGGAACCAATCTTAGTGCCCGTTGACAAATGAGTGGATAAAGAAAATGTGGTCTATACACACCAGGTAATATACTATGCAGTAATATTACTACTGAGTAATACTACTCATCCATAAAAAAGATAAAATAATGTCTTTTTGCAGCAACTTGGATGGAGTGGGAGGCCATTATTCTAACTGAAGTAACTCAGGAATGGAAAACCAAATACTCTACGTTTTCACTGATAAGTGAGAGCTAAGCCATGGGTGTGCAAAGGCACACAGAGTGACATAATGGACTTTGGAGACTCAGAAAGCGGAGGGTGTGAGTAGGGCTAAAAACCCACTTATTTGAGTACAGTGTACACTACTCAGGTGATGGGTACACTAAAATCTTAGAGTTCACCTCTATACTATTCATCCATGTAAGGAGAAACCACTCGTACTCCAAAAGCTATTGAAATAAAAAATTATACAAATAAGTTGCTTTTCAGCTTCAAATAATCTAAAAACTAAACAAAATAATAATGCTGGCTTAGATATTCTATATTCAAAGGCTTTCACATTTTTAAAAGACATGACTGTGATTGTTCTATTTTTGAAAGTGGCAGAAGCTACCTATATTATTTTGAGTAGTTAGGTTGGAATAATCTCATGTGGAAAATAATCTCAGCATTTTGGGTAGAGAGGCAGATTGTGTCATAAATACATTAGGTGGGTAATGGATGTTTTATTAAATAGATGTTACCAAAAAATGAACAAAGAAAGAGAGATGTCTATTCTCTACTGTGTGTCAAATTCTTAAATATTTACTGTGAATCTCAAATTCTGAAATAAAAGCAATGAAATATGTAAAAAAAGGAAAAATAGATTCTTGTACTTTTTGCATAGATGGAAGATTTGCTGCTGTTTTTTCCATTTATTAACTGAATACAAATAAATTGTATGACAAATTAGAGTATCACAAGGATTAATTGCTCATTAAAATATTAGATTACTAGATTGTTCTAGCCTATTAATTTAAATCTTCAACGCATACAAAGAAGTATGATATTTAAGACAGTAAGTGAGTCATTTTACTTAGAAAATATATTAACCCATAATTGCCACATAATTAAATTGTTAATTGTGAATATATTTTATTAATAATAAATTGTTAACAAATAATACTATGTAATTGGCTAAATATATTTTACTAATATATTATTGAGATAGCAACTTGCTAGTTATGAAATAGAACAAGAATTAATGTTTGAATTTGACATTAGAGTATGGCTAATCTGTTTAAGTAATGTGTACAGATCCATTATACTTACCTAGAGTTTCATATAATCAACTTTTTCCATTTTAATATCTCATTGACATTTATTTCTGTATCATATTTCAAAAATTTTATTTTAAAAATAAATGTGTCTTTGTCTTTATTTAATGCTAGACAATATTGATGATCTTCATTGCAAACTTATTATTTATAGTGCCTCTTGCATTGATAAAAATAAATTGTGTACTCTTTTTAACCCCTTCTTTCAACATGCTTTTTGGTATTCACAGTATGGTGGAATTTCTGATGAATTACCTAACTTGACTAACAAATATGCTGCTTTCTTGTCAAGAACCGAAAGAACTACAAAGATATCAGATATGGTAAGAAGACTTCTACCATCAAATATTTTCATTATGTAGAAATCATGGAGGAGGCTGCATAACATAAAAATTATATTAGGACCTGAGTGAGGTAACTGGTAGCCTCCTGTAATGTCCTTGGTTAGATCGATACTTCTGTATTTTTAAAGTTCAACAAAATTATTGAATCTAAGCCAAAGTACAGAATTAGTATATGAGAGATTATCACATGGAACATCCTTTGTAGGGTCAGAGAACATTCATTCTTAGGACATACATGAAAGTTGAACTTGTGTTGTGTATGGAGTAAAAGATTTACTGTAGGTTCCACTCATTTTACTCATAGTGCAATTTTTTTCTCTTTTTAATGTGAATTAATCTTGACATCTAAGACTGCTCAGTGATTCATTTTTACTCCTGTTGACCTGTATGTTAAGTTATGTGGCTATAAATTTTTCTGAATTTCTATTTTTAATAAATACCTAATATTGAGTAAATTGAAAACAGTAAAGCAGATTAAATTTAAAAATGAGTAGTTAATTGTTTCAGATTGAATTTACAAATATATCAAAGTAAAATTTAGAGTTAAAAAGTTGGACCCAATGGTAATGTTACTATAGGCTAAATGTTTGTACCCCTTAAAATTCATATGTTGAAACCCTAACTCCCACAGTGATGGTATTAGGAGGTGGCAATTTCTGGGAGGTTATTATGTCATGTGGGTGGAGACCTCATAAATGGGATTAGTACTCTTATAAAATAGGCCCAAAGGGGCTCGTTGGCCCATTTTACCATGAGGACTCAAGAGAAGGTACTGTCTTTGAGGAAGCAAGTCCTCTGCAGATACTGAGTCTACTTGTGCCTTGATGTTGGACTTCCCAGCCTATAGAACTGTGAGAAATAAATTTCTGTTTATAAGCTACCCAGTTTATGGTATTTTGTTATAGCACCCCAAACAAAGATAAATGTTACAGTATAGACTTGTGTGAGCAAGGTGTTATTAAAATACATTTTTATAGAAATTGGACCATCTTTGCAAGATATTGTTAATAACAAATTACAAAACAGGGTTATTAAACAAGATTTAAAATGTAGCTAATCAATGAGAGCATATAGTGTAGCTTGCTGAAATAAAATTCTGCCAGGTAAGATAATGGCAACAGTTGATTTATAATATTTTTGATTGTGACATAACTGGTACAAGATTGGGATGAACTATTTAAAGGGAATGACAAATGAAGTGCTAGTTAATGTAACTGTGAATGTCTTGGAAATCATAGGAATTAGATTAATTTGGTGAAAGCTATTCAGGAATGGACTTTTTTTTTCCTGAGGCATTAGTGGAATTTGAGATATAGTCAAAATTAGAATCAGGTTCTATTCTTTGAGTTTTTTTGTATTTATAAATTCAAAAGACCATTTAAAATCATATAAAAATTTTCTTTACTTGTCGTAGATTCTGTGTAATTGTTAACTAAAAGTGCTTTTTAAAATGGATTATTTCTTCATCTTGAGGAATTTTAGAGTTGGGTTGTATTTTTCAAGTGAATTATTGTTATGCATACCTCAGGATTTATTTTGAAGTATGCCCTGATTAATTTATTAATAATATAAAGCTTTTATCCTCAGGAATTATTGAATGGATTCAAAGTTGTTTCCATTATATCACAGGTAGTAGGAAAAAACAATGAAAATTTCAGAGAACATCCATAGGAAGGCACATATATATGTTAAACTTTATGTCTGTAGTGAAGAAGTGGTGCACATCTGCTCTAAAGGAAGACAAGTTGCTTCCCCAATTTTTTGACTTAATTTACATTTTTTCTTTTCATTTTGTTCCTCTTTAGATCTGAAGACTTCTTTTTAGTGTTGTCTCCTCTGGCACTAAACATTTGCAATTAAAATTATTCAATGGGACTCTGGTTATCCAAGAGGCAGAATAGTTTAGTCACATAGAAAGTTTGATTTTTGAACCTCTTTTGCAAATGACAATACACTTCAAACTAGTGCATATATAATATGTATGTAATAAAAAATCCAAATTATTGCTGTCAAAACAAAATTGAAATAATATCTCAAATATATGATGTAATGGAATTAATTTTATTATTTACTTTAAATAAAAATAAATAAAATTTACCTCCCAGGTATTTTGTTATGGATATGCTGCAGTCTTTAAGGAGGATATGATAGTTTAATTTTCCAAGTTGTATTTTTACATAAAAAAATATAGCTCCCTTCCTGACTTCTGGTTTCATGTGGAAGACTTATTTCTTTTACAAGACCCCAAATAAATATGTTTTCTTTTAAAAAAACTATGACATAAGCATTAGTTGATTATAAAAGGAAAGAAAAATGGAGGATGAACAGTCAAACATCTGTTTACCAAGCATTCTAGAAGCAGAAATTAGAGAAAATAATTAAGTGTTTGATATAGACAACATAAAGTTATTTCAAGCTGAATAAAAACATAAGTTATTAATCTGGGTAGCTCAACAAAATGCCAGAGGATAAATATAAAAATATGTATGTCCTTTTTACTTTTTTTTTTCATTTTTAGAAGATTCTTACTAAAGAAAATATCCTTGAAGCTTCCACAGAGTAAAGTAACTGGGTAACTTACAAAGGGATGAGAAATATGACTTATGTCAGGTATTTGCTTAGCAACATTAGTAACATTTCAAGGCTAGAACATGATGAAGTAATATTTTCTTAAATTTCTCTGGGGAAAAAATTTTGGATATAGAGTTCTCCCTCTACCTAAAATTTTAATTAAATGAATCAAGAAAATAACTTTCTTACATGCCATAGTTCAGAAAGTTTAGTATCTCTATATCTTCATATGTGGAGCTGCTCCATCGAAATAAAAAATGGAAAAAAAGTGGGGTGACATAAAGACAAAGAAGAATATAAACTGAGTATTTCCTAGACAAAGTAAAGAAAAGTGAAAACAAATTAATAAAGAAGTCATTTTAGCTCATGCATGACATATTCTTCAAGAGGAAGGAGTTTGATGACATAAAATTCATCATTTCTGTTTGGCCACACTACTTGGCTCTGTAGGGAATAATAATGTTAATATAAATCCTGCTTTAAAATTGGTTTATTTAAAAATCACAATAAAGTGATATAGCCGCTGAAGGATGAAATAGCTATTATAAAAATGAACCAACCAGCTGTGGCAGAGCTGAATAACACAATAAATAATTGTATAATGCAATTGCAAGTATTAATTGCAGAATAAACCAAGCTGAGGAAGGAATCTCAGAATTTGAAGACTAGTTCTCCGAAATAAGACAGTCAAAATGAGGAAAAAAAGAATAAAAAGGAATTAATAAAACCTCCAAGAAGTATGGGCTTATGTAAGGAGGCTAAATCTGTGAATCATTGGCATCCCTGAAAAGGAGGCAGAAAAAGAAAACAACTTAGAAAACATATTTAAGAATATTATCTATGACTATTTTCCCAATTTTGCTAGAGAGGCTAACAGTCAGATTCAGGAAATACAGATAACTTCTGCAAGATTCTACACAAGAAGATCATCCCCAAGAAAGACACAGAATCCTCAGATTTTCCAAGGTTGAAATGAAAGAAAGAATTCAAAGGCAGCTAGAGAGAAAGAGCAGGTTACTTACAAAGGGATCTCTATGAGGCTAACAGATTTTCCAAGGTCGAAATGAAGGAAAGAATTTAAGGGCAACTAGCAAGAAAGGGCAGGTTACCTACAAAGAGATCTCCATGAGGCTAACAGCTGACCTCTCAGCTGAAATCCTATAAGCCAATTGATTGGGGGCCTATATTCAACTTTCTTAAGGAAAAAAATCTTCAACCAAGAATTTTATGTTTAGCTAAATTGAGATTCCTAAGTGAAGGAGAAATAAGATACTTTTCAGATAAGCAAATGTTGAGGGAGTTTATTACCACCAGCCCTGCCTTACAAGAGATCTTGAAAGAAGCACTATATATAGAAAGGAAGCACCACTACCAATTAATACAAAACACACTTAAACACATAGGGCCAGTGTGACTGTAAGATAACCATTTGAACAAGCCAACATAATAACCATCTAATAACACAATGCCAATATCAACTCCACACATAACAATACTAACTTGGAATGTAAATGGGCTAAAGGTCTCACTTAAAAGCCACAGAAAGGCAAGCTAGATAAAAAAACCAAGACCCAATAATATGCTGTTTTCAACGGATCCATCTCACATGTAATGACTCTCATAGGCTCAAAATAAAGGGATGGAGGAAAATCTACCAAGCAAATGGAAAACAGGAAAAAAGCAGCGGTTGCAATTTTAATTTCAGACAAGACAGATTTGAAACCACAAAGATCAGAAATGATAAAGAAAGGCATTACATAATGAATGGTAAAGGGTTCAATTCAACAAGACCAAACTATTCTAAATACACAGGCACCCAACAAGGGGAAGCTAGATTTGTAAAGCATATTCTTAGAGACCTAAAAAGAGACATAGATTCCCATACAAGACTTCAACACTCCACTGACAATATTAGACAGATTATTGAGTCATAAAATTAACAAAAATATTCAAGACCTAAACTCAGTGTTGGAGCAAATGGATCTGATAGACCTTTTCAGAACTCTCCATCTCCAAACAACAGAATATATATTCTTCTCATTGCCACATGGCACATACTCTAAAATTGACCACATCATTAAACACAAAACAATCGTCAACAAGTGTGAGAGAAATGAAATTATACCAAACACACTCTTGGACCACAGAGCAATAAAAATAGATATCTAGACTATAAAAATTACTAAAAATTATGCAATTATATGGCAATTAACAACGTACTTCTGTTTGACTTTTAGGTAAATAGAAATTAAGGTGGAAATCAAGAAGTTCTTTGAAAAGTATTAAGAACAAAGAAACCACACACCAGAACTCTGGAATACAGCTAAGGCAGTGATAAGAGGAAAATTCGTAGTACTAGATTTTCACATCAAAAAGTTTAAAAGGAGGGGCAGAGCCAAGATGGCTTA